GACCCCGGTCGGGTTTTCATGAGAAAGATAGACTGGAATGGTTTGCTGTTTCCTTGGCCAGCTCATTTCACAAATGGGGAACTGAGACAAAGGGGATTAAGTGACTTGCTCAGGGTCCCACAGTTCTAGGTGTCCAGATTTGAACTCAAGAAGACAAATCTTCCTGACTCCAGGCCTGGGACTTTATCCACTGTCCATTTCCTTCAGTCTCCTTACCACGTCATGTTGTCCAATGGCTGCTGAGCTGGAGCTAAGAATGCGACAAAGGCACTGACCAGATGGCCTTGGTCCCGCTGGTGAGCAGGGAGGAAGGGCTAGGGTGCCTCTCTTCTGGTGAGAGACAGAGCTGAGGTCCTCTGTCACTGGAAGGTGCCGTGAAGGAAGGCAAGTGCTCAGAGCGCTGTTGCTGCTAAGGAAGGTGGTGGCCATGGAGACCCTTTGTTGCCAGCTGCCTCCTTACCCAGGCTGACATGTGGACTATGAATTGAGGCCTCTCTCCATGACCTCTTTGTGCTTTCCAGCTTGTAAAGGAAGGAGCACAGGAAAAGTCACTGATGTTGGGAGCTTTCAAAGGTTGGGTCCTGACAAGTCCAAGAACTGGATTTGATAAAAGTTAAGCACCAGAAGGCCAAGCTGCTCTGCCCTATCTGGAAGTGAACATGGTGGGGTGAAGGCTTCCTAGCCACTGCTCTGAGTCTGAGCCCTTTCTTCTCAAGGACATAAGTAATAGATATAAGCATGTGACAGGGATTTGTTTATGTTTATGTTCTTGTTGTATCTTCTCAGTAAAAGTCCTTTCATAAAAGAAAACTGATTGAGTGATATAAGAGTGCTTATCTCTGAAAAGGACACATGATAAGAGGGAGATACCCAAAGTAAATGATGATTGATACTGGAGAGGAAGGGAGAGGAGAGGAGGGAGGGGAGGGGAGGGAAGGGAAGGACCTGTTAAAAATATTTATCACAGCTCTTTTCTGGTGTCAAAAGAATTGGAAATTGAGGGGATACCCATTAACTGGGGAATGACTGAACAAGTTATGGTATGTGATTATAATGGAGTACTATTGTGCTATGAGAAATGAGCAGATTGCTCTTATGAAAAGGAGAGACGTGCCTGGGCTGATGCAGAGTGAAGTGTCCTGTGCACAAAGTAGCAGCAATATCGTAAGATGATCAGCTGTGAATGATTTGGCTGTCCTCCATAATACAACAATCCAAGACAATTCTGAAGGACTTGTGGTGAAAGATGCTCTCCATCCCCAGAGAAAGAGTTGATACCTGAACACAGGTGGAAGCATACTTCTGCTGCCTGATTTTTCTTAGGTTCTTTTTGTCTATGTTTTCCTTCAGAAAATGATTATTATGGAAATATTTTGCATGATTACACATGTATAACCTATATCACATTAGTTGCCTTCCCAATGAGGGGGGTGAGGAGGGAGAAGGGAATTTGAAGCTCAAAGTTTTAAAAACAAATGTTAAAAATTATTTTTATATGTAACTGGGGAAAAACAAAACACTAAATTTTAAAAAGAAAAAAAGAAATATTGTTAGAAGTGTGAATTCTTCAGTTCTTTTGGGTTATGGATTTAATTGTTGAAAGACATAAAAAAATCAGTAGCAGATCAGTGAGCGAGCTAGGGTGTCAGTATTTTAAGATTTCAGGATTTATCTATGTTAAGTGGTTAAAGTGCAGTGATTTGACTTCAATTAAGAACTAGAAATCCCAAAGGAAAAGATTTTTAGAAATCAGTCTGTAACCAGCTTTAGTCTAAGAGTTAGGTTAGATAATTACCTGATTAATCATGTTTATCTACCTTTCAGGATAAATCTGAAGGCCTTATTGAATCTAACACTACATAAATATTGGATATGGTAAAGATACTTGTTATTGTGATTTGTGATTATTATGTAAAATCTTAATGATTTCTTTGTACTGTTCAATCATTTAATTATTATTTAAGTAATTCTATGAAAGGTCTTAAGGTTTCTGCCTGGGGACTGGCCATGCCCTGCAGCATTGTATCAAATTCCTTAGGTCTCTGCCTGGGTCAAAAAACAGAACCTTGGGGTAGTTTAGCCCAGCACACTTTGAGCTAACCTGGTAACGACAAAATCTCCTCTCCCAATATGAGGCTACATTGGCTGTTCACACTTCCTGAATATGATTTCCCTCTGTCTTAGAGCATTTGCTTTACTGGCATTTTCAAGAAAGCCTCTATAAATGTGCTCCTGCTGGGATCAGATTTCAGCATCCTAGATGCATCTTCTCACGTTAGGAGGTAAGCAAAAGTGTAGAGTTTGTAGCTGAATGAGGACTTCAAATGGAAAAATTGGAGAAGAAAAAGTAGGAAATGGTCATTGTACTGAAGAAGATGCCTATAGAGGGGAACTCAGAAAAATCCCATCCAGAGAGCAAGAACACTAGTGCTTAAGTGAGGTAGTTTGAATTTAAAAAAGAAAATGACTTTGGCAGGTGAGTGGAGGATGAACTGGTCTGGGGAGAAGCTGGAGGCTGGGAGACCAACAAGCAGGCTCTGCTAACAGTCCAGGATGAGGTGACCAGAACCTGCACTAGGGAGAGGGCTGGGACACTGGATTGAGGGGACGTGTGCAGGCAAGAGATTGTGTAAAAAGAGAAATCACTCAACTGGGCAGCTGACCCCATATGTAGGCTGAGAGAGGGAGGAACGGTCAAAGGGAACAATGATGCTGCCAGCCTGGGTGACCTGGAGGGTGGTGGTATCCTCCAAAGGAATAGCCAGGTTCAGAAACAGGGAGCGTTTGGGGGGAGATACTGAGTTGTCCTGGGAGATAGTGAGTGGGAGACAACTATGGGGCATCCTGCTTTAAAAGTCCTATTTATTTGTTGTAGATTTGAGTAGAACCCATGGCATGGATAAAACCCCCCAAGTGAGAGAGCTTGGAGAGAGGGGGACCAGAAGGCTTGGAAAAGCCCCCCAGACAGAGGGCATGTCGTGGATGCTGACCCAGCAAAGGAGGCAGAGAAGGGAGGAGTGGTCAGACAAGAGGGAGGAGGGGACCCCAAGGGAGCAGAGCCATGAAACTGTCAGGGAAGACAAGATGAGGCCTGAGAAGAGGCCACTGGATTGGGACATTTGGGGAAGGAGTTAGCAATAACCACTGAGAAGATGAGACAAAGTCTCCCAGGACAGGCTCCTTTTCAGGCTTCCCCCCACCTGCTGACTCAGGTCAGGTAAATGAGCATTCATGAAGTGTCTGCTGGGTGCCAGGCACTGTGCTAAGCACTGAGGATACAAAGAAAGACCAAACCCAGGCACTGCCCTCAAGGAGCTCCTGGTGTCTAGTGGAGAGACAACCTGCAAAGGGTACAGTACAAATGAGACACAGAAGGCGAGGGTCCATCTGGGGAGGGGGTCTGTGTGGTGGTGCTGCACTGGCATTAAGGGGGACCAGGAAAAGCTCCTTACAGAAGAGGTGACTGCAGCAGGGCCCGAAGGAAGCCAGGGACCCTCTAAGGCCGGCTCCTACAATTCCCTATACATCTGGTATGCACTTGGTCACGCTCTTGAAATAAGCCCAGGTTTCTGCCTTTCTGGGTTTCTGATGTGTTTCCCCCAGGGCCTGGCAAGCAGGAAGGGCTCAATCCACTGCGATCTGTTGATGGAATGGCTTCTTGCCCTCTGTTCCTCTGATGACAGAGAGCACTGGAGAAATGACCTGTCTACACCATGATTTGAGAAACCACTTCAGGACAGAGGACAATTCTGCTTACCTGACAAAGCCTGGGAGTGAGGAATATGGGGAGAATCCAGCTGTAGGGTCGCCCTTGACTCCACCAAATCCCTGGCCAAGACACATCTTCCCAAAGATGCCCTTCCCTTCCACCACCTTAGTGCACACCTTCTTACTCTCTCACCCGAATTTTATAAACAGCCTCCTGTTATCTGGGTCTCCTGCCTCAAGCCTCTCCCCACTCCAGCCCTCCATGCACAAGTCACTCAATGATTTTCCTATAGCACAGGTCTGACTATGGCACCCCCACTGTCCCTCAATAAACTCCAGTGGCTCCCTATTTCTTCTAGGATCAAATACAAAGTCCTCCCTTTGGAATTTAACACTCTGCGCAAACCTCAACTCTCAGGGAATTGGCGTGAGGGCCACCCTTGTGACCCTGGGCAAGTCACTTAACTCATCTGAGGCTGGTTTACTCATCTGCAAAAAGAGGGGGCTGGGCCCAGTGGCCTCCCTTCCATATCTAAGTCTATGACTCTACAGTAACAAGGGGACAAGCCAATGACAGCCCCTTCTTTCTGGCCATACAAAGATGGACTAAAACAAGATCATTTCAGCAAAGAAAGTGAGGAAACAAAATATCAAAACTTCAAAGACCACAAGAGCTGTACTGACCTAGAAAACCACAAACTATGTTTAATTGTGGTTTATTTTTTTAAAATATTTCCCTCTTGACTTTGTACACAATAACAGCCACATTATGTGATGACTAATATTGTTAAACTGAACCCTTCTCAGCATTACAAGGATCTAAGACATCTCCAGAGGCCTGGAGATGTCCACATCCAAAGAAAGAACTATGGAAGTCGAATCGCTATCACATATTTTTCCCTTCTGTTGAGTTTTGTTTCCTCTTTCTAAGAGTTCCTCCTATTGGTTTTAATTTTTTACTTACAACTTCAGTAATGTGAAAATATGTTTAATAGGAATGTAAATGTAAAGCCTATATCAGATTGTGCACCATCTTGGGGAGGGTGGGGGGAGGAAGGGGGAGAAAAATTTTCAACTCAAAAGCATATGGAAGTGATTGTTGATAAATCAAAATAAATTAATAAAATTTAAAAAAATTAAAATATTTCCCTCTTACATTCTAATCCAGATCAGCCCATCAGAATGTTCTTCTGCAGTGATTAAATTAACAAAGTTTCTCTCCATCACAAGTTCTGTAATGTTGAATATGTGCTCTGATCTCTGGGGGAAGCCTTCCTGCATTAATCATATTCCTAAGATTTCTCTCTGGTATGTATTCTCTTATGTACTGAAAGATTTGAATTCTGGGTGAAGGCCTTTCCACATTCATTACGTTCATAGGGTTTCTCTCCAGTGTGAGTTCTCTGATGTCGAGCCAGTGCTGTGCTCGAGAAAAAGGCTTTCCCACAATCACTGCATTTAAAAGGTTTTTCTCCAGTATGAATATGACTGTGTTTTGTAAGACTAGACTTCTGAGTGAATGCTTTTCCACATACACTGCAGTCATATGGTTTCTCTCCAGTATGAATACGACTGTGATTGGTAAGACCACACTTCTGAGAGAATGCTTTTCCACACACACTGCACTGATGAGGTTTTCTCCCTGTATGAGTTCTCTGGTGCAGAGTAAGCTCAGAGTTTGATTGGAATGTCTTTCCACAATCACTGCACTTAAATGGTTTCTCCCCAGTATGAATGCTGAAGTGCTGTCTAAGATGTGACTTCCGGCGAAAGCTCCATCCACATTCAGTGCATTTATATGGTTTCTCTCCAGTATGAATATGACTGTGCTTGTTAAGATTAGACTTGCGACGGAATGCTTTCCCACATAAACTGCATTTATGTGGTTTTACTCCTGTATGAATTGTCTGGTCATTGCTTGAAAAGAATGTCTTCCCACATTGATTACATTCATAGGGTCTCTCTCCAGTATGAGTTCTTCGATGTTGAGTCAGTGCTCCACTCCTGCGGAAGGCTTTCCCACAATCACTGCATTTAAAAGGTTTCTCTCCAGTGTGAATGCTCAAGTGGCATCTAAGATCTGCCTTCAGGCGAAAGATCTTTCCACATACACTGCAATGATAAGAGTTTATTACTCCATGAGTTCTCTGGTGCAGAGTAAGGTTAGGGCTTGATCGGAATGTCTTTCCACATTCATTGCATTCATATGGTTTCTCTCCAGTATGAATACTACTGTGCTTGGTAAGACCAACCTTTAAAGAGAATGCCTTACCACATATACTGCATTGATGAAGTTTTATTCGTGTATGGGTTCTAAGGTGTTTAGAAAGGCTACAACAAGATTGGAATCTCTTCCCACAATCTTTACATTCATAGGGTCTCTCTCCAGTGTGAATTGTCTGATGTCCAGTCGGTGCTGTCCTCCCACAAAAGTCCTTTCCATACTTACTGCATTTAAAGGATTTTTCTCTAGTATGCATGCCTTCCCACAGTCATTACATTCATAGGGTCTTTCTCCAGTATGAAATCTGCAGTGTTTTGTAAGACTTTTCTTGTGCTGGAAGACTTTTCCACAGTCACTGCACTTGTGAGATTCGTTTTGACTTTCCATACTAGTGTGTAGAGTACAATCTGCCTTTTGACAGGATGTTTTCCCACATTTAATCAATTCAGAAGACATTTTTCCTGCATGAGTTCTCTGCCATAGAGTAACTTCATTATTTGGGAAGAAAGAATTCCCATTTTCTTGAAGCTGCTCTTCAGCATGAATTCCATGTTTCTGAATTTGGTCCAAATCATAACCAAAAGCTTTCTGACATTTGTTAACCTCAGAATATTTCTTCTGTGAATGGATTTGATTACTTCGTCTTTGGTCTGACTCCAAGCTCCTTCTCTGGGTATCACTCTCATGGAGATCCATTACTACAGACATTCCACATTTTGGAAAAAGGACTAGCTCTGGGCTCACGGTTTGGCTGCATCTACTGTATTCACAGCCTCTGACTTCATCAGCAGTTTCTGCTTGGATTACTTTTCCTTGTCTAGAGAGTTTCTCCTCATTGCTGTTGACACAACACTCCCAAGTTTTCCCCATTTTGGAGATGCATGGGTCATTACACAAGGACTTTTGCTGGGATAAGACTTCTATAGACATATTTAACTTTGGCATTGACTCCTTGGTCTGAGGCCTGGTGTCCCCATCTGAAGGAAAGAAAAAGTGTAAATGTCCTTTTCCTTGTATGAATAAGCTTTTCTGTACACTTCACTTTTTCCAATATTCTGTCTCGTATAAGCAATGTATGTGTTTTTTCCAAGTGAAGTGAAATCAATTCTCAAGGTTTCCAAAATTACTTTGAATTCACCAAGCTTATCCTTTCATTTAGCCCAGTATTATAGGAGGTGAATATGCCAGAACTGATGCAGATAATGCACAATTAATGAAACTATGAACAACTGCTCTCCCATACACCAATATGAACAAAGTACCTTAAAGTATTTTTTTTTTGGGAAAATTCTTCATCTGAATATCACCCCTGAGAGTCATGAGAATGTGATCACTGGGTCTAAGAAGAGGAAATTCTGAGGAGCTCGTACGCCGCAGAATTCCACTTTGCTTTCCAAAAAGATGGAAATAATTCAAAGTTCCACCCACAGTGGAGCAGCGCTCCTGCATTCTGAAGGCACCAACAGAATCATTTGTATTTCTCCCTATCAAGTGACTTTGGTATAAAAGGCAACAACATCCAAACAAACTAGAGTAGTGGGGAGAAATGAGCTGTAAGACTGCTGTCTGAGGGGCAGCTGGTAGCACAGTGGATAGAGCACTGGCCCTGCAGTCAGGAGGACCTGAGTTCAAGTCCAGCCTCAGACACTTGATACTTACTAGCTGTGTGACCCTGGGCAAGTCACTTAACCCCATTGCCTAGCCAAAAAAAAAAAAATCACGTCTGGAAAAAGATCTCATGACCGAAAAAGTCATCCAGAGGATCACAAATGTGCCCATTTTCATGAGGTGCCCAAATGTACTGAGTTCGGGCACTCACACACTCACCTGGCCAGCAGCTTCTTAGGACACTATCCACTGAAATCCCATGTGCTTCTCCAGACTCCAGCTGAGAGATCATGTTCACATTGGAATCTGCAAGGCCTAGTGAAGGGAAATGGCACAGTGATGGACAGGTATGGTCACCTCACAGCCCATGCCTCACCAACCCCTAGGAGCAAGTGAAGAAGGGCCAGGGAGTCTGGGGGCTGTGCAGAAGCATACAGAAAACATCTGAAGGGTGATCTGGTTTCTTTTCCTGGGAAGATACAGCAATGGGATAAAGAATGGAGTTGGGTTCAGAGAGACAATGAGTTCATTTGACCCATTCAATGCTGAGGCATCTGGGAGCTTTCTTGACTTCAGTATCTGCCCTGGGACTTGAGAAAGCCTCCCTGGCCTGAAGAGAGAGCTGGAGCAGGCTCACACAATGAAGCTGACAGTTTCCAGCCATACAAAGCAAGAGCCCTTCAGCTGGGACCAGGCAGAGCACAAGAACCCTGTCTCTTGGCCTCACTGCAAGTAACAAATGCTTGGTTTTCTTACAGGCCAAAGCAACAGTGCTGAACAGTAGACCCAGCCCCAGCAGAAGGAAGCAAACAACCTTTTGGGGCAGATCCCAAGTCCCCAGAGGAGCCTCCTTACCCAGGCTGACCAGGTTCCTGTAGTTCTCCAGCATCACCTCCCAGTAAAGCTCCTTCTGGGAAGTGTCCAGGTAGCCCCACTCCTCCCAGGTGAAGTCCACAGCCACATCCTTGAAGGTCACTGATTCCTGAAACAAATCAATCTGTGCCTGTCCAGGGACCACAACCCACATGGATGTGGGAAGGGGAGTGAAGGGGGACAGGAATCAGAAGGACTGATTCTTAGTATATTCAGGTTGCAGAGTGTTCAAAGGAAAATCACAAGGAGCATTTACTACATGCCTCAGGTTCTGAATCATGTAATACAAGAACACTCATTGTCAAGCCCATAAGCACTGATGGAGTGTCTGCCCTGTGTCAGGCTCTGTGCTGAGCCCTGGGGATACAAATGAGGGCAAAAGCAGTCCCTGCCCTCAAGGAGCTCACAGTCTAATGGGGAGACAGCAGGCACAGAAACAGTCCTGAGGGTTCAGCAAGGCCCCAGCAGCTGAGGAGACCAGGCGTGGGTTCCTATAAAAGTCAGGGCTTGAGGTGAACATGGACGGATTAAGTCAGTGCCTCCAAGAGGGGCAAGGTGAGGGGAGAAAAGCATTCCAGGCAGGGAGGGAAGCAGAGGCAGAGAGAAAAGATGGGGGTCACATGTAAGGAACAGAAAATAGGCCAGGAAGCAGGGAGGACTTTAACATGCTAAGACACGGAAAGGTAGAAGGGCTCAGTTTGTACAGGGCACTAAATGCCAAATGGGGGGTTTTATCTGACCCTGGCACAGTCAGAGCTCGATCCACTGTGGTCTGGGGACTGAATCTGCCCAGGTGCTCTGAGGACAGAGAGCACTGAGAAAGGACCTGTCTACACTGTGACCTGAGACACCTGTCAGGGAGGAGGACAATGCTGCTTACTTGGGGGGGCCTGCTGGTGAGGAACTTGGGGCCCATTCTGGCTCCTTGCTGCTCCCCGCTCTGGCCCGCACCTTGGCCCATGGGGTCCCAGGAGGCAGAGCTGGAAAGGAAAAAGCAGCCATGAGTGGGGGTGGGCCCTTTCCCCTAGCCCCCTGACCTGCCTCCAGGGCAGCCTGTCTGTGTCCAGGACTCGGGTCAACTCAACGCGCATTGATGAAGCACCCACTGTATGCCTCCCTGCATTCTAGGTGCTGGAGATGCCAAGGAGATAGAAAAGCCCAGGCTGTGCCCCTGCCCCCTCAGAAATGCCAGGTCAAGTGAGGAGGGAGGGGGCAGGGACAGCTGGAGGGAGGGGGGGCCCCCTGGGCTGGGGCTGTAGGCTTCTTTCCTAGGGTGTCTGAATCCTAGAAAGGCATGGTCACGTGAGGAGGGAGGGGCGGTGACACCTGGGGGCAATAAGGGGTGGGGCTTGGGGCTGGGAGGGGGTCCTCCATGTCAAAGCAGGGCAGGAGAGGGGGAGATGAGAAGAGAGGGAAGAGAAGAGAGGTGAGAATGGAAGAAGATCCGGGGAGGGGGCGAAAGAAAAAGGGGAGAAGAGAGGGGGAAAGTGAGGAGGGAGAATCAAGGAAGGGGGCAGGGTGGTCCCGCCTCACTGAGAGCCCTCCAAGGGCCCAGGAGCCTTCTCCCCACTTCAGAGAGGGACCAACTGAGGCAAAGAGAGGGGCAGAGAAGCCTGGTAGAGGAGGGGGCGGGGATCCCAGGTGCCCACCGGGCACACCCCTCCCCCCCACAGGCCACTTCACTCTTCATCAGTTCTCAAAAATATTCCCAGGTTTACCCAGGTGCAGGACCAGCATCTTTATCATTCCTTAGAGCACATGTCTTCCATTACATTGTATTCACAGACCATAATTTGTCCATTTCTTCTTCAACTGGGGAGCACTCCCTATGTTTTAATCACAAAAATAACTTCTATCAACATGTTTTTACTTATGTGTCCTTTTCATCTCCCTTTCATTTCTTTCGGTACAAACCTAGTGGTCTGTTATCAATGGTGGTGTTTGTTGGGCATATTTCCAAAATGCTTTCCAGAATGGCTGGACCACCACCAACAGCTCATTAATATGCTGTTTTCCCATATCCCATCCATCATTTATTATTTTCTTTTTGGAATGAAACTTGGCAATCTGGTGCTTGTGAGGTGGAATCTCAGAGTAGTTTTCATTTGTATGTCACACATTAATAGTTATTCACACTGGGTTTTTTTTTTACCATATAGCTACTAATAACTTGGATTTTGTCCTCTGTAAACAACCTATTCATATGCTATGACCACTTATCAGTTGGGATATGACACATAAAATTTGCATCACTTCTTTATATATCAGAAAAATTAGCCATCAGGTAAGGTGGTTACAAAGATTTTTTTCCCAATAAACTATTTCACTCCTAATTTTGGCTCTATTGATTTTCTTTGTATGTAGAAGCCTTTTCATTTTATGTAGAAAATTAGCTGGCTCAGTGTGTGGAACACTGGGTCCAGAATCAGGAAGATCTAAGTTTAAATTGCCTCACACACTTCCTTCATGTGTGACACTGATAAGTAACTTAAACCTCTGTTTGTCTCAATTTCTTCACCTGTAAAAGGGGGCTAACAATAATACCCACGTCAGAGGGTTATTGTGAGGATCAAAACGAGATAATAATCCTAAAGTGTCTAGCACAGTGCGTGGCACATAGTAACTGTTAACTAAGTGTTAGCCATTATGTAACTAATCAGAATTAGCCACTTGCCTTAATGAGTTTCTTTATCTTTTCTTTGATCATGACTTGTTCATCATTCCTAGATGTGAAAGATAATTTCCTCCTGGACCCACTATTTTGTCTCGATATCACCCTTTATGTCTCAGTAATGTCCACATTTGAAGGTTATCTTTCTATGTGGGATGAGATACTGATCTCCACCTAGTCTCTGCTAACCAGCTTTCCAGTTTTCCCAACAGCTTTTGTTGACTACTGAGTTTCCCTCACAGTTACTGGGTCCTGAGTGATGTTTCAAAAGTGGGTAACCACTTCCTTGTGGAAACCTAGCATAATATGGCAAAAAGATTTCTGAGGTAGATGGTAAGAGACTCAGCTAGGAGATGGGGTTGTCTTTGCAGCTAAGTAGAGAAATAACCTTGGCCACTTCTTTTAATCTGCTTGGCCCTCATTGTCTTCTGGAAATTTCTACCCTCCTGGAAGATGAGGAGTTGGAGTAGAACATCACTCATGACTCTTTCATTCCTAACATTTTATTTTCTGTGTGCTGTATGGCTTCTGTAAGAATCAACCAGAGACTGTTCAAGAAGTGGGACTATTAAGAAAATAAAATGAAAAAAGAATCTCTCTTCAAGGAGCTTACATGATCCTCATGGGGATAATACCTATAGGATTTTCACAGAATTTTCTTTGGATCTATTCACCAGTCACTACTGTCTGTCTTCTACACTCCAGTTGGCTCCTGTTTTCAATCATGCAGGGCCTTCTTGCTCATTGAAATTCCACTTTGATACTTCAGTGGAGTCAAGAACCACGGCCCTTTCTCATCAATAGGACAATCTACTCTCAGAATATGAGGCTAGACTGGCTGTTCACACTTCCTGAATATGATTTCCCTCTGTCTTAGAGCATTTGCTTTACCGGCATTTTCAAGAAAGCCTCTATAAATGTGCTCCTGCTGGGATCAGATTTCAGTATCCTAGATACAACTTTTCACGTTACGCAGTAAGGGTTTGTAACTGAATGTGAACTTCAAATGGAAAAATTGGAGAAGAAAAAGTAGAAAATGGTCTTTGTGCTGAAGAAGATGCCTATAGAGGGGAACTCAGAAAAATCCCATCCAGAGAGCAAGAACACTAGTGCTTAAGTGAGGTAGTTTGAATTTAAAAAAGAAAATGACTTTGGCAGGTGAGTGGAGGATGAACTGGTCTGAGGAGAAGCTGGAGGCTGGGAGACCAACAAGCAGGCTCTGGTAAAACTCCAGGATGAGGTGACTAGAGCCTGCACCAGGGGGAGGGCTGGGACACAGGACTGAGGGGACGTGTGCAGGCAAGAGATTGTGTAAAAAGAGAAATCACTCAACTTGGCAGCTGACCTCACATGTGGGCAGAGAGAGGGAGGGAACATTCAAAGGGAACAATGACGCTGCCAGCCTGGGTGACCTGGAGGGTGGTGATATCCTCCAAGGGAATAGCCAGGTTCAGAAACAGGGAGGGTTTGGGGGAAGATACTGAGTTGTCCTGGGAGATGGTAAGTGGGAGATGTCTATGGGGCATCCACTTTAAAATGTCCTATTTATTAGTTGTAGAAAAACAAGTGTAAAGGAGTGCATCAGATGAGATCCCCAAGTGAAAGAGTTTAGGGAGAGAAGAAAGAAGGTCCAGGCCAGAGCCTTGGAGAAGCCTCTCAGACAGAGGGTATGACGTGGATGCTGACCCAGCAAAGGAGGCAGTGAAGGGAGGAGTGGTAAGACAAGGAGGAGGGGACCCCGAGGAAGCAGAGCCATGAAACTGTCAGGGAAGACAAGATGAGGCCTGAGAAGAGGCCACTGGATTGGGACATTTGGGGAAGGAGTTAGCAATAACCACTGAGAAGATGAGACAAAGTCTCCCAGGACAGGCTGCTTTTCAGGCTTCCCCCCACCTGCTGACTCAGGTCAGGTAAATGAGCATTCATGAAGTGTCTGCTGGGTGCCAGGCACTGTGCTAAGCACTGAGGATACAAAGAAAGACCAAACCCAGGCACTGCCCTCAAGGAGCTCCTGGTGTCTAGTGGAGAGACAACCTGCAAAGGGCAAAGTACAAATGAGACACAGAAGGCGAGGGTCCATCTGGGGAGGGGGTCTGTGTGATGGTGCTGCACTGGCATTAAGGGGGACCAGGAAAAGCTCCTTACAGAAGAGGTGACTGCAGCAGGGCCCGAAGGAAGCCAGGGACCCTCTAAGGCCGGCTCCTACAATTCCCTATACATCTGGTATGCACTTGGTCACGCTCTTGAAATAAGCCCAGGTTTCTGCCTTATTGGGTCTTTGATGTGTTTCCCCCAGGGCCTGGCAAGCAGGAAGGGCTTCTTGCCCTCTGTTCCTCTGATGACAGAGAGCACTGGAGAAATGACCTGTCTACACCACGATTTGAGAAACCACTTCAGGACAGAGGACAATTCTGCTTCCCTGATGAAGCCTGGAGGTGAGGAACATGGGGAAAGCCCATCTGTAGGGTCGTCCTTGACTCCACCAAAGCCCTGGCCAAATCTCCTCCTTTCTGTCTCCACACATCTTCCCATGGGTGCCCTTCCCTTCCACCACTTTAGTGCACACCTTCTTACTCTCTCACCTGAACTTTATAAACGGCCTCCTCCTATCTGGGTCTCCTGCCTCAAGCCTCTCCCCACTCCAGCCCTTCCTGCACAAGTCACTAAAGTGACTTTCCTATAGCACAGGCCTGACTATGTTACCCCCACTGTCCCTCAATAAACTGTAGTGGCTCCCTATTGCTTCTAGGATCAAATACAAAGTCCTCCCTTTGGCATTTAACACTCTGCGCAAACCTCAATTCTCAGGGAATTGGTGTGAGGGCCACCCTTGTGACCCTGGACAAGTCACTTAACTCATCTGAGGCTGGTTTACTCATCTGCAAAAAGAGGGGGCTGGGCCCAGTGCCCTCCCTTCCACAGTGAAGTCTATGACTCTACAGTAAGGGGGAACAAGCCAACGACAGCCCCTTCTTTCTGGCCATACAAAGATGGACTAAAACAAGATAACCTCAGCAAAGAAAGTGGGGACACAAAATATCAAAACTTTAAAGACCATGGTGTCACACTCAAATGCAAAACAGCTGTATTGACTCATACAGCCATAAACTAACCTCATCTGTTTTATTATGGATTTATTTTCTTAAATACTTCCCAATTACAATATAATCTGGATTATCCCACCAGTGTTTTGCTTCAATGATGACATAAATGAGCTTTCTCTCCATCATGAATTCTATAAAGTTGAGTAAATGCTGTGATCTGGGTGAATACCTTCCCAAATTTATAATATTGCTAAGATTTGTCTCGGGCATGTATTCTCTTATGTGATAGAAGCCCTGCATTCTGGGGGAAGTCCTTTGTACATTCACTGTCTTCACAAGTTTTCTCTCCAGTGTCATTTCTCTGATGTTGAGTCAGTGCTGTGCTCCGGAAGAAGACTTTCCCACAATCATTGCATTTAAAACATTTCTCTCCAGTATGAATACTACTATGTTTTGTAAGACCAGACTTCTGAGAGAATGCCTTTCCACATACACTGCATTTATAAGGTTTCTCTCCACTATGAATGATATTGTGATGAGTGAGAATGAACTTCTGAGAGAATGCCTTCCCACAAACACTGTGTTCATGAGGTTTTATTCCTGCATGATTTCTATGGTGCTTGGAAAGGCTAGAGCTTGACTGGAATGTCTTCCCACATTTGCTGCATTCATAGGGCTTCTCTCCAGTATGACTTCTCTGATGTTCAGTCAGTGATGTGCTCCAGAAAAAGACTTTCCCACATTCATTACATTTAAAAGGTTTCTCTCCGGTATGAATTCTACAGTGTTTTGTAAGACCAGACTTCCGAGAGAATGCCTTCCCACATACACTGCATTGATGAGGTTTTATTCCTGTATGAGTTCTCTGGTGATGAGTAAGGTTAGAGCTTGATCGGAATGTCTTTCCACAATCACTGCATTCAAATGGTTTCTCTCCAGTATGTATAAGACTGTGTTTGGTGAGACCAAACTTCTTAGAGAATGCCTTCCCACATACACTGCATTCATATGGTTTCTCTCCAGTATGAATAAGACCGTGTTTGGTAAGACCGAACTTAGTAGAGAATGCCTTCCCACAAACACTGCATTGATGAGGTTTTATTCCTGTATGAGTTCTCTGGTGATGAGTAAGGTTAGAGCTTGATCGGAAGGCCTTCCCACAAACACTGCATTCATATGGTTTCTCTCCAGTATGAATAAGATTGTGGCTGGTGAGACGACACTTCTTAGAGAATGCCTTCCCACATACACTGCACTGATGAGGTTTCATTACTGTATGAGTACTCTGGTGATGAGTAAGGTTAGAGCTTGATCGGAATGCCTTCCCACATATACTGCATTCAAATGGTTTCTCTCCAGTATGAATGAGATTGTGGCTAGTAAGATCACACTTCTGAGAAAATGCCTTCCCACATACACTGCACTGATGAACTTTTATTCCAGGATGAGTTCTAAGGTGCTGAAAAAGACTAGAGCTTGAATGGAATGACTTCCCACATTCATTACATTCATAAGGTCTCTCTCTAGTGTGAGTTCTCTGATGCCGAGTCAGTGTTGTGCGCCGAGAAAAAGAAATCCCACAATTGTTGCACTTAAAAGGTTTTTCTCCAGAATGAATCTTACAATGTTGCATAAGACTTGTCTTCCGGTAAAAGGCCTTTCCACAGTCACTGCATTTGAAAGGTCTTTCTCCACTATGGATTCTGTAGTGCTCTGTAAGAAATCGCTTCCGCCAAAAGACCTTTCCACATTCACCACATTTATAAGATTTGTTTGGACTCTTGATAGGGGCCTGTTGAGAACCATCTGCCTTCTGACAGGATGTCTTCCCACATTTAGTCAACCCAGAACACTTTTTTCCTGGATGAGTTCGCTGGGGTAAAGTGAGTTCATTTTTTAAAAGGAAAGAATTCCCACTTTCACAGAGTTGCTCTTCAGCATGAATTCCATGTTTCTGAATTTGGTCCAAATCATAACCAAAAGTTTTCTGACATTTGTTAATCTCAGAATATTTCTTCTGTGAATGGATTTGATTACTTTGTCTTTGGTCTGACTCCAAGCTCCTTCTCTTATGGAGATCCATTACTACAGATACTCCGTGATATGGCTCTGGGCTCACGGTTTGGTGATATTTACTGTTTTCAGAGCCTCTGACTACATCAGCAGTTTCTGATTGGATTATTTTTCCTTGCCTAGAAAGTTTTGCCTCGTTGCTCTGCTCTTTCTTTAACCTGCCACAATACTCCCAGGCTTTTCTCATCTTGGAGATGCATGGGTCATCCCACAAGGGCTTTTGCTGGGATAAGGCTTCCATAGAAATACTCAACTTTGGAGCTGTCTCCTTGGTCTGAGGTCTCCTGTCCCCATCTAAAGGAAAGAAAAAGTGTAAATGTCCTTTTCCTTGTATGAATAAGCTTTTCTGTACACTTCACTTTCCCCATTATTCTATCTCTTATAAGCAATGTACATATTTTTTCATTTGAACTGAAATCAATTCTTATGGCTTCTAAGATTTCTTTAAATTCACCAGGCTTATCCTTTCATTCAGCCCAATGATGTCATGTTTGGTGAATATGCCAAAGGGGCTACAGATGATCCACAATTAATGGAAATATGGACAACTTCTGGCTCTGATATGCCAGTGTAAACAAAGTACCTTATGGTATTTTTTTTCAGGAAAATTCATCTGAATATGATATCTAGGAGTGTCATGAGAGTGTGATCATTGGGTCTAAAAAGAGGAAGCTATATGGAGTTCCCACACCGCAGAATTCCACTTTGCTTTCCAAAAAGATAAGAACAATTCAATGTCCTATCTACACTGGAGCAGTGCTCCTGAATTCTGAAAGCACCAACAGCATCCCACCTATCTAGCCATACCAATTCACTTTGGCAAAAGCATTCACACAAACTAGAGGAGTGGGGAGAAATTAACTGTAAGATCTATGGCTGGTAAAAGACAGCAGGACCAAAAAAGTCATCGAGAGTATCATGAATGTGCCCATTGTCAGGAGGTGCACAGGTGAATGATCAGTTAAGCACTGGACATTCACTCACACACTCACCTGGCCAGCAGCTTGTTAGGACACTATCCACTGGAATCCCCTGTGCTTCCCCTGACTCCAGCTGAGAGATCATGTCCACATTGGAATCTGCAAGGCCTAGTGAAGGGAAATGGCACAGTGATGGACAGGTATGGTCACCTCACAGCCCATGCCTCATGGACAGCTGGGAGACAGTGAGGAAGGGCCAGGGAGTCTGGGGACTGTGGAAGAGCATATAGAAAACATCTGAAGGGTGATCTGGTTTCTTTTCCTGGGAAGATACAGCAATGGGACAAAGAATGGAGTTGGGTTCAGAGAGACAATGAGTTCATTTGACCCATTCAATGCTGAGGCATCTGGCAGCTTTCTTGACTTCAGTATCTGCCCTGGGACTTGAGAAAGCCTCCCTGGCCTGAAGAGAGAGAGCTGGAGCAGGCTCACACAATGAAGCAGACAGTTTCCAGCCATACAAAGCAAGAGCCCTTCAGCTGGGACCAGGCAGAGCACAAGAACCCTGTCTCTTGGCCTCACTGCAAGTAACAAATGCTTGGTTTTCTTACAGGCCAAAGCAACAGTGCTGAACAGTAGACCCAGCCCCAGCAGAAGGAAGCAAACAACCTTTTGGGGCAGATCCCAAGTCCCCAGAGGAGCCTCCTTACCCAGGCTGACCAGGTTCCTGTAGTTCTCCAGCATCACCTCCCAGTAAAGCTCCTTCTGGGAAGTGTCCAGGTAGCCCCACTCCTCCCAGGTGAAGTCCACAGCCACATCCTTGAAGGTCACTGATTCCTGAAACAAATCAATCTGTGCCTGTCCAGGGACCACAACCCACATGGATGTGGGAAGGGGAGTGAAGGGGGACAGGAATCAGAAGGACTGATTCTTAGTATATTCAGGTTGCAGAGTGTTCAAAGGAAAATCACAAGGAGCATTTATTACATGCCTCAGGTTCTGAATCATGTAATACAAGAACACTCATTGTCAAGCCCATAAGCACTTGATGGAGTGTCTGCCCTGTGTCAGGCTCTGTGCTGAGCCCTGGGGATACAAATGAGGACAAAAGCAGTCCCTGCCCTCAAGGAGCTCACAGTCTAATGGGGAGACAGCAGGCACAGAAGCAGTCCTGAGGGTTCAGCAAGGCCCCAGCAGCTGAGGAGACCAGGAGTGGGTTCCTATAAAAGTCAGGGCTTGAGGTGAACATGGACGGATTAAGTCAGTGCCTCCAAGAGGGGCAAGGTGAGGGGAGAAAAGCATTCCAGGCAGGGAGGGAAGCAGAGGCAGAGGAGATGGGGGTCACGTGTGAGGAACAGAAAACAGGCCAGGCTGGCTGGGCCACAGGAAGCAGGGAGGACTTTAACATGCTAAGACACAGGAAGGTAGAAGGGCTCAGTTTGTACAGGGCACTAAATGCCAAATGGGGGGTTTTATCTGACCCTGGCACAGTCAGAGCTCGATCCACTGTGGTCTGGGGACTGAATCTGCCCAGGTGCTCTGAGGACAGAGGGCACTGAGAAAGGACCTGTCTACACTGTGACCTGAGACACCTGCCAGGGAGGAGGACCATGCTGCTTACCTGGGGGGGCCTGCTGGTGAGGAACTCGGGGTCCATTCTGGCTCCTTGCTGCTCCCAGCTCTGTCCCACACCCCAGGCCCCTGGGGTCCCACGAGGCAGAGCTGGAAAGGAAAAGGCAGCCATGAGGGGGGTGGGCCCTTCCCCCCTCCACCCCGACCTGCCTCTGCCTGGGAAATGCCCACAGTGACCCCGGGGGCAGCTTGTCTGTGTCCAGGACTCGGGTCAACCCAACGTGCATTGGTGAGGCGCCCACTGTATGCCTCGCTGCATGCTAGCTGCTGGAGATGCCAAGGAGACAGAAAAGCCCAGACTGTGCCCCTCCTCGCAGAAATGCCAGGTCACGTGAGGGCGAGGGGGCGGTGACAGCTGGGGGGGGGCCCTGGGTTGGGCCTGAGGAGGTGAGGCCTGAGGGGGACAAAATGAAGAACTGGAGGGGAGCAGGAGCGCGGGGCAGGGGAGCGTCAAGCCGAATACGATGGGAGGCCTGCAGTCAGATAGAGGAGTGTGGGGGGCCAAGGGCATTCGTGTCAGGGCGGGGGATTTGGGGAACAGAGGGAGAGATAGGGGGAGGGCAGGGGGAAAGAGAGGAAGGAGGGGGCGGGGCGGTCCGGACCCAGGAGCCTTGCCCCATTTCAGGGTCGAGTCAACTGAGGCAAAGAGAGGGGAGGGGGTGGGAGTGCCGGGCGCCCGTCCCCCGCTCTGGCCCCCGTCGCGCGCCCTCCCCTCCCCTCACCTCGCACAGAGACAAGCAGTGGAGGCACAGCCTGAGTGAACGTCCCCGCGCCCAGGGATGGAGCCGCAAAAGGAAACTCCGGCGCCTGCGCAGACGCTCCCTCCGGGGGGACGCACCCATTGGCTAGTTTGCGGAGGGGCGGGCCCTTTCGGCTTTTCCTCCCGGGCCACGCCCCCTTTCCCTGTTTCCCAGGATTTGGGGGAGGGGAAATCCGCTCCCTCCCACCGCCTTAGAGGCTCTGGGAACTTTAAGCCAATCAGAGGCGCCGCCGCTGCCGAGGCCCCGCCCCGCCCGCTCCTCAGCCGGGTCCAGTTGGGAGCTCATCCCAGTCTGGACTTGTTGCGGACTGTCCTTCTACCTTCGGTTCCTCTCTGTAACGTGGGGCCGCCCCATTGCGCTGCGGGAGGCGCTGCAGCCTCACTCTCTGGCTCAGGGAGATGGGTCCAGGGCTGCCCACGGTCAGCGCCGCCCCTCGACATCCGGGCGCCTGCCGGGGTCTCTCCGGGGTCCCCAGGGATCCTGAAGCTGGTTCTGGGGAGCCCAGGGTCCCCCACCCCGCCGCGCCTTTGACTTTGTGGTGCTTCCTCCAGCAGCACCCCCTTCCCCTAGCTCTGCCTGCCAAGGACAGGCCCCTGCCCTCCCCAAGGGGCGGAGGGGGAGACAGCAGGGCAAGAAATGAACCCTGACCTCCCTAGACCTGCCCCTCCCCCCCAGGTGGGTGGGACCCTCGTTCCCCCTTTCCCAGAAGAGTCTCTGGTCATTGGCATTGGTTTGCCAAGCTCTGTACACGCCCTGTGTCCTTGGACCTTCATTGCACAGAGGGGAAACTGAGGCACATTTGTTGCAGTGTCTGGGGCTAGACTTGAATCCAGATCCCACACTCCCCCCATGCCCATCCTCAGACAGCCTCCTGACCTTGATGCCCTCCCTACTAAGGGTGCTCCCCTACCCCCTGCCCCTCTCTTCTTCCCCAACACTCATAGCCTGATCACAACATTCAGGGCTCCTGCCTGCTCAAGTCAGACTTGGTGCTGGGTGGGTTTCAGGGGCAATCATATGTTCCCATGGCCAGTCTTGGGGTCCTTTTTTCAGCTTTAAACCCTGCAAACGGGCAAAGATAACAAAAATTATTATAGTGTTGGAGGGGTTGTGGGATGCTAAGCACACCAATATGGGGAACTGTGAAGTGGTCTGTTTTAGAAAGCAGTTTGGACTTGTGGGAATAAACAGCTAAAATGTCCACACCCTTTGAGCCAGAGACTCCATTGCTAGGCTGGTCCCCCAAGGAAGCCATTGGTAAGGAGAAGGCACCAGGAGAAATCAGGATGTTTATTGAAGCAACTTTGATGACTGCAAAGAACTGAAAATAAAATGGAAGCCCACTGATTGGCAGGTGGCTAAACAAAGTGTAGTCTGAGAATGTTAGAGAATATTACTGAGCTGTAGGAAATGATGCATGTGATGAATTCGGAGAAGCCTGGAAAGATCTGTGTGAACCGATGCAGAGGGATGTCAGCAGAGCCAAGAAAACAGTGTGCAAAGTAACCACAGCACCAGAAATGGGAAGAAAAGCCACCCATCCATATCAGAGTGACTCAGAGATGGGAGAGGATACCGCCAACTCCCCCTTTGCGGAGGTGGAAGGCCAGAAGCACACGGGTTGAGCATGTTTGGGGCTTTCTGGGTGGAGTGATCCCTTTAGTGGATCTTTTCCTCTTCTTCTATTCTCTTGTCTTTAAAAAATATTATCTGTTATATGGTACAGTTCTCTAGGAAAGGGAGAGGGAATTGGGGGAAAGTCTGCTGCTGTAAAAACAAAAGACATCGATAAAAGGTTTGGTTCTTTAATGTGTAATAGAGATTTACAGGACAGGGGGTCTACTGCTCATACAAAAGCTGACCGAAACCTCCCAGGTTAAACGGCAAGAAGAGGATCCCCCAGGAGTTCAAGGACACCTCCACTGTCTCTCTTCTCTTAAGGAAAGGAAGTAGGTTGTCCTGTGACAATCGCCGGGGAATCTCTCTTACTTGTGGCTGGCAAGATTCTTGCTGAGGTCTCTTTGATCTCTGATCCTTCCCTGGAAGACAGTCATCTACCTGAGAGATGCTGTGGCTTCAGATAGGGCTGGGGAACAGTCCATGCGGTGTCTGCTGCCTGACAACTCCAGGAGAAAGGCCAGGAGCAGAACAGAGGTCTGTATACAATGTTCATCAATCTGACCAAGGTCTTTCATACTGTCAATAAGGAGGCCTTACAGATCATGACAAGATTTGGTTGCCCAGAAGTTCATCAGTATTGTATGCCTGGTTCTGGATAATAGACGATGTTTTCCAGCTTTCCTAGTTGCCAACAGTGAAGCTGTGTGCTTCTCCCATGGTTTTTAGCAGGATGTTTTCAGCTATGCCAGATGCCTTTAATTAGTACAGAAATGGCATCAGGAACAGCTACCACACTAACGCTAAAGTGTTTGCCTTGAAAAGGCTACACACCGAGACTAAAGTGGAAGAAAAGGTAGCAGACTTTTTGTTCCCAGATGGTTAGGCACTCAATGCATCTGATGCTGACATGCAAGAGTCCAGACTGATTCTCGGCTGCTCGTGCTAATTCTGGCCTGACAACGGACACCAAGAAAACAGGCTCTCCACTGGCCAGCAGGACACCATCCATACATGGAACCATCAGTTACAGTAAATGGAGACATTTTGAGCGCTATGGCTAAATTCACTTACTTTGGCAGTGTACTTTGCAGAGATATATGCATAGATCATGTGCCTGACACACACATTACCAGACCTAGTCAGTGTTCATGAGGCTCCCAAGAGGAAAGTGTGGCAGAGAAGAGTTACCAAACTACCAAACTAGAGCAGCTAGGTGGCACAGTGGATAGAGCTCCGGCCTTGGAGTCAGGAAAACCTGGGTTCAAATCTGGCCTCAGACATTGAGCAGCTGTGACCCTGAGCAAAAACCACCCAATCCTGTCAGTCTCTCAGCTTTCTCATCTGTAAAATGAACAGAAGGAAATGGCAAATCCCTTCAGTATCTTTGCCAAGAAAACCTCAAAGAGGAGTCACAAAGAGTCAGACAATGCAATAACAAAAACTGAACTGAAGACAAATGTTTGCCTAAAAGACTGTTTTAGGGAGAACGTACCCGAGGCAAGCCCTCACACAGAGCCTAGAAGCAGCAATACAAAGACACTTCCAAGGTCTATCTGAAGAACTTCAGAACTGACTGGCAGATGTGGGAGACTGACACAGGATGCTCTGGCCGGTTGTATCCACTTCAAGAGGCACTGTGCTCTCTGAGCAAAGGAGAGCTACTGTAGCCCAAAAGAAAAGTGAGCTGTGCACTTCAGATGTGCATCTGGACAGTTTGTGCCTGAGCTGTGATAGAGCCCTCAGATCCGTGCTGATCTGATCAGCGCCAGTTGGACGCATGGAACCAGGAGCCCAACCTAGAGATGGCATTGTGGTCCTTTTCAAGCACGAAGGACAGCTACCAGAAGTAAGCAGGGTCTCTTGGCTAGTGTTTTGGAGAAATTGAGGGTTAAATTTTTATGTATGACTGTAAGAGAATGCTGTCATATGGGGAAATAATTTGGGCCAACACATAAGGTTGTCCAATAGAAAAAGGATGTCACAGAGATGCTGATAAACAACAGGATGGTCTGTACAGGAGACCTCTGGATTCTCTCGAAAATATTGTCTTCAGGATAAGTAAAGGAATTTGTGTCAATATTTTGTCAACTGGAGAACGATGTTTGGTAAAGAGAAGACGCCACGGTTTTGTGATTAAGAATAAAAAATGGGGTTTATTTAGGGGGAATTTTGTAGTGTCTTGCATGGGCTACCTGCATATATGTATTCAGCCTACATGTATATATTCTGGCTGCTGCATGTGACAATTAACAAACTTCTAATTGACTTGAGATAATTTCTGCCTCCTTATTTTTAAGACTGAAAACAGATCAATTTTTTAAACAAGAGAGAGAATGAATACATTTTGTAGAGAGTTGAGGCAGAAGTGGAGGAGAAAGGAGAAGAGAAAGACAGCTCTACTGGAGGCCGCCTAAGACTTGAAGAAAATGGGAGTGGACAAAGGTAAGGAAAATGAGTTGTTCAGGTGAAGCTAAGTCTCTCTGAAGGAGTTCCTGTCAGAGACCCCCAGTTCTTCTCTTACAGGTATGAGGCAATTTAAGGGGAGCTTCTTACCCACCATTTAAAAAATTCTTTCTCAAACTGGGAAAGAGTATGGCAGAAACGAAGCATAGACCAAAATCTTACACCATATACCAAAATTAAGTCAAAATGGGTTCACCATTTAGATATAAAGGCTGATACTACAAGCAAATTGGGAGAGCAAGGAGTAGTTTAACAGTCAGATTTATGGAGAAAAGAAGAATTTATGATCAAACAAGAGATAGAGAACATTATGAAATGCAAAAGGGATAATTTTGATTACATTAAATTGAAAAGTTTTTGTACAAACAAAGCCAATGCAACCAAGATTACGAGGGAAGCAGAAAACTGGGAAAGAATTTTTACAATCAATGTCCCTGGTGAGGGCCTCATTTCTAAAATATATAGAGAACTAAGTCAGGTTAAGAATACAAGTCATTTCCCAATTGATAAATGGTCAAAGGATACGAACAGTTTCCAGATGAAGAAATTAAAGTTATCTATAGTCATATGAAAAAATGCTGTAAATCACTATTGATAAGAGAAATGCCAATCAAAACAACTCTGAGGTACCACATCACACCTATCAGATAGGCCAACATGACAAAACAGGAAAATGATAAATGCTGGAGAAGATGTGGAAAAATTGGAACACTAATGCATTGTTGGTGGAGTTGTGAAATGATCCAACTATTTTGGAGAGCAATTTGGAACTGTGCCCAAAGAGCTATAAAAATGTGTATACCCTTTGACCCAGCAATAGCACATTTAGGGTTGTATCCCAAAGAGATCATAAAAATGGGAAAAGGACCCACATGCACAAAAATATTTGTAGCAGCTCTTTCTGTGGTGGGAAAGAATTGCAAATTGAAAGGATGCCCATCAGTTGGGGAATG